TTTCCTCAGCTAATGAAGCCTGAGGGAAATCAAGGAGATGTTGAAGTCTTTAACTGGAACACATACGCTTTGGAATTGTTTGTGTCAAAAGATTTACTTGTTATAAGCCAAGTATATTTTTATTTAATTATTCATCAGTAAATATTTTACCAATCCAAAGGCCAGAATCGTACGTATATTTGTCATCAAAACATAACTGTAGAACGTGATATTCAACCTTTTGTGGTAGTTCAATGGAATGCTACTATTAAACTCTTTTAGATGCAGGTAAACTAATACTTTTTAAATCTGACTCGTATAAGATTTTAACTTATCGATTTCATGAATCTAAAACCATCAATTGTCAGAGAAACACTAAAAATATCTTTATTGAAATTTTGAATGGTCAACTATTTATCCGGCTATACATTTATTTAACATTTATGTTAACGAGCTAAGTAGACTATGTTGTTAGCTATGGGGAGCGAGCTGGTGTAGTGGCTAGAGCGCGGGACTTCGGTCCGTGAGGTCCCGGGTTCGATCCCCGCCAAGTCACCAATGGATTTTATCTAAGTGATAATGCCGCGACCCCTAGGTCTAGCCTGAAGTAATGTGAAAAACAATCCCAGGCTCGTGCCTAGCGTCCTAGGACAAAAAAAAAGTTGTTAGCTATGTTATGATTTTGCCTAAGGTTGCGTGAAAAAAACTTCATGAAAAAAAATCATTCTTAAGAGCGAATATTTCATTGTGTTTGGCTCAGCATTGCTACAATACTTCCACAAATTGTGTTAACGTATTTCTAGCAAAGATTGTGATATTATTAAATAAAACATAAATAAGAATATTCCATACTTAAGTTTTAAGCCAGTATACCCCTTCATTTGCAACTTCATTAACAACTTATACACGTGCCTTGTCTTGAATAGAGATGAATTTGCATGGTCAAACAAATCGCATCAAGTTAATCCTACAAACAAAACCCATTTACCATATTTTCTTTATAATAAACGTACATATTTTGCACTCATATCAATAACTATTTCAACTATTTCTGAACATAATGTTATTTAAATGACTTATTCATGAAATAACAATTAAAACATATCATAGCCGAGATCTTATAAAGCTTTATGTTTACGATGAGATTGTGTAAATTGCCTTTGTAGTACAACTGTTCACAATAGAGAACTAGAAGTATCTCTTTGTTTTGTACAAGTATTCACAAAGCTTGCTCTCTCCAATAATTTCCCTGGTGGCGGAACTGTTCAAACTGTGTCCAGAATCTCTATACAACCAACGAGTCCGCACTGAATCTACTTCATCATCGATGAAAAACATATGGAGCTAAATAGTTAACTGTTTCTGAAATATAGACTTTTTATTTAAACGCTTTTTCATTACAGAAATAACATGTCTTTTATTCATTAAAATAAGATTTATATTTTCATAAGGGTACACAACATGACTATATTACATTTAATACCGTTATGAATGATTTTTCTCCATTAAAATCAAAATACTATATTGAACTCTCCTGAAAATTAAATCAATGGTGTTGTACCTTAGGTTATTTTTTGTTGTAATTTTTTATCAACTCATCAAACTACAACCGGCTAAAAATACCTATCAAAAAATTTACTAGCACAAAAAAGCGATATCATACTAAAATCTGGTGTTCCATAGGCGCTATAAATCTGATTGAGCCTACTGCAATCTAATCCGATGTGTTACGACATTAATTCAATCAGCGGCTACATTCGTATTTATATTTGCTATTTACATTAAGGTATATTACAACCATTTAATGGATGTAAAAATCAGTTTGATTATTTTTTCTCGCCTAACAGTTCTAAATTTTTTTTTAAGTTATGGTTAAAAGATCTTTATTGCATTTATAATAAATGTCACCACCGTCCGGTATGGTAATGTCATCTCAAATCGTCTACATTGATATTATTCTATTCGTGTTGTTCCACGAATTTCATGGATCAGTGTTTCAATTAGATATATTTACTCGATTCGATAAACTGAGCATCTGAGATATCCACATTATTATCCACTCTAGAGTCTATTTACTAGAGTAAAATCGTAAAGTCAATGGCAAGACACTGTTACGTGACAAAACCGCTGTTTTATTTGCAAAAAGTCTTATCAGCTGATCGGCAATAAAGTAAATAAAACAGGGATACCAACATACATAAAATATATCATATTGTGTTGGGTGTTTCAAAGTTAATTTTGGGGTTTTAAAAATTAATAGCTTTTATTACAATACGATTATCGCTATAAATGACAAATCAAATTAAAAAGCAACTCAGAGAGTTTTTAGCTTTCCTTTAACACATTAACATAATCGATAGGGTACTTACGTATTATACGGAGGCCACTTATTTTACAGCGCGCTGCGGCGGTTGGGTTAAGTTGGGTTATCATAAATATGTTTGTAGAACTTTCCTAGTTTCGTTATGAATCGAACTATACGAGATGAGTCATAAAAACTTATGATAACCCAACCTAACCTAACCGCCGCAGCGCGCTGTAAAATAAGTGGCCTCCGTATAATACGTAAGTACCATCGATAGGCCTACAGTAGAAATGTAGATTTGATTGTACTTTAGATTAAAGGACTTCTTTAATCTATGGTAAAACGAAATTTTAAAAATCTCTAACTCCATATTTTTTCACCACTATAAATTCGGAGGTTGAGTTACATTTTTTTCAAATAACTTAAAATGGAGAGGAAATCGACCAAAGTGGACGGTAATATTCTGAAAGACATATACAAAATCCTCTTATGCATTCCTTGAAAATACTCAATAAATGCAGCCAAAAATCGCCTCCAAATAAAAAATTAGGGGGGTTTTCAATGTAACAATAGTGATAGTTATAGTTAACTATCGTCTTGACATGTGCCGTGCGACGAATAGTGCTCAAATTGAACACTTGTAGGCTTTAAAACTCTTTAACCACTTAACACCATGCTTTTTCATTTTGATGAGCCATTTATAGTGGTAAGTTTTATGTAGTAAAAACTATAAAGCTTTTAAACCTTGATATTAATTTTGAATATCCCGGTACTTGTAGTTTGAGTCGTGTTGTAAAAAAAACTCACTGAATGTAATATTTATATTTGTTTAAGAATTTGCTTAGGATACTATCTTCCCAACAATACAGCTTATGAATAATTAATTCCATACATGGTCGTAAAATACAACTAATCGACTTCTAATCTAACTAGATCAGACACAATACATTCATTACAATATTTATGAAAACTGATATTTCTTAATGTAGATTCGAACTGTTTTGAAATATCTGAGAAGATGGTGATAAAAGATAACGTTTTACTGTATGTAGTAAAAATTTAATTAGGTTTTTCGAACGTGTTGAATCTATAGCAATAAATAAATTATTATCATGATTTAGTTCAACAATATGGTACAACCCCAAACAAATTACATGTTAATGTATCGTAATATTTGTTTGTATTTTCATAAAATATGTATAAATTTATTCCTTACTTTTTACGCAAAAAAATAAAATCAATAATTTGTTGTCTACTTCCCAAAACATGTTATGGATACTCTGGTTTTGTAGTGAATTGTTACCACTTGCATTTATTTTTAATACAAATAACTAGGAACCTGTCGAAGGTCCAGGTTACTGTTGAGGTTTAAAGCAAAATCATATAACTATAAATCGACAAATAATAAACGATAATCGATTGAAATAAATAATTCAATTTTTTACACTTTGGGTTGTTCGTGATTCAGCAGCGTGCTTAAGGTATGTCGGATCTTAATAATCAATTGCCAAAATTAAAGCTGGCATTTCACTGAAGGTTCTTAGGCAAAAAACATGTAGAATAATGTAATTACAACTACTATATTACATCTCTAATAAAAGAAATTTGTAAAAATACGAAAAACATTTATGTTTTCGGTACAGTTATACAGTATAAAATGAATTGGCATGCTTGGAGGAAAATCTGTGCTTACAGCTTTATTTTAAGACCAAAAGTATGAAAATCGGTCGGGTAGAAGAGCCAAATGAGCTCGGAAAAAACAAAAAACCCCTAAGAAATGTACAGGAAGGAAATTACTTTTTTGTATAACTTACCGTACGTGTCAGATAAATTAATACCGATGCTAGATGGCAAGTCTTTGCATCCAAACCTTTAATTTAAGATCAACACTATGAAAATCGGTTGGATTTAAGTGCCAAATCGACTCTGAAAAGAGTAACAATAATTTTAAATATATATATACAATATATATATTTCAGTGTGAATTAAATGGAATAAAAAACTTGCAAAACTAAAAAATAGTATATTTTAATATGAACAAATAATCAACGGGTGGAGCGAAAAACAAGATTAGCGATATAACACTATAATCTGGTGTTCCGTCGTAGCCATAAAGCTGATTAAGTCCCCTGTAATTAAACCAGAAACGCAATGAAATTAATTCAATCGGCGGCGCCAATTTCCATGTTGATTTGCTATTAATGTAGTAGCATATTACAACCACATTCACTATCCAATTCACGTATGTATTATAAACAAATATTTTTACGTTACATTTATTTATCAATAGTATATAATTATATTTTTACTATACAAAATAGTAATGTGAATTGTGTTCGTGAGTTTAGACGTAAAAGTCGAAAACTAAATAGCTAACTAAAAATAAGTGTTGTTAGAGGTATTTTACTATTTTGAAAAACGATGATGATTAAATGATTATTGTCCTATGTTTGGTTACTATTTTTAAACTTTTAGAAGCGTGTGTTTGATTGCTTCAAAGATTTTTTTGAAACTGTGTCTACATTAATGGCCAGCCAGCTATTATATATATATTTTATATAATATAATTGATCTAAAATACTGTACTCAATATTAGAATCTTCCAATGCATCTAGAATATAAACTGAAATAAATGCAAATAACAGGTCGAATATTTAATTTTTCAATAATAAATCACATATCCAATATGTTTAGTACAAAATAATTTCTGTTTCAGATCTGGCGTCATCATTTACTATCTAGAACGGTGAGAAAATAATCTACTTTCATAATTTTGTGACATGATTGATTGAGAGTAACAAATTTAGGTGTCCAAATACACTTTTATCAGAGTTTCAGTCAGATTAAAACAAAACGATTAATACGTTGCTGCAGGAAATTAATGCCATATAGTAAGGTTACAATTTATTAAAATGAAAAATAAAATGTGTTATGTGTGAAAACCACTGGAGAATAATAGACTCTCAAATGTTAATAACGTATTTTTTGAGTGAACATTATCGTCGAATCAAACTTAGGTAAGAAAGGAAATACAAAGGTAGAGTGAAATAGAGTTACAGATGTATATCATACTAGCTGTAACCCGCGGGCTTTGCCCCGTTTAACTTCTTAATTTTCAAGATTATCTCGTTCGCATGGCTCAATCACGTCCTGGTTGAAGTTTGTTCGCTACGCTCACTCACCTTTAGGTTGGAGCTCGTTCGCTACGCTCACTCACCTTTAGGTTGGAGCTCGTTCGCTGCGCTCACTTGCCTTCAGGTTAGCTCGTTCGCTACGCTAACTCGCCTCCAGGTTGAAGTTCGTTCGCTACGCTCACTCACCTTTTGGTTGCAAATTAGCTGTTGTCATAAATGTAAAAGAAATAATAGTGCTGCACCCTGTTGGTAATTTTTGTAACTTTAATGCTATTGAACATCACAGAACAGAACCAACTTGTTTAATTGAAACAGCTGTTAAGATTCAATAATTTCATTTCTCATAAGGTTAACATGGGAAACTCCAGAGCCACTGGGGCGGAGCCCGAAAGGATTTTTGAAATAAGAATATGCCTATATGTTAATCGGGAATGTGAGCTATCATCATGCCAAATTTCAGCCCAATCCGACCAGTATTTTTCGCGTTCACTTGTCACAAACATACATCCATACATCCATACATCCATACATCCAAACTTTCTCATTTATAATATTAGTAGGATATCAGTCTAAAGTAATGTCTTGACTTTAGTCTAGTGTTTCTTTTATTGGTACAACATCTTGGGTGATTTATTACGTTTAATTCTTGTATACATGATTGGTTAACTTGTTATCAATATGACTCGCAACTATTTGTCGTCTTTGGCACGATAATAATTAATAAATTATGAATATTTTGTGACATGCAAAGCTGTAATTTAAGAAATTTTTTAACAACCAAACCTCTTTCACTATGGATAAAACTACGACTACCGTATTTTTAAACAAATGTATTTATTGTGTTATTTATTTAAACTTAGTACGAAGTTTAATAGCTAAGTAAAAGGTTACATAAATTTATTAAGTGAGTCATTATAAAAATATAAGTTATAAATTAACTTAATTGTCTTACACAAGTTATTATTGTAATTATAATTATTTGCAATTAATTTAAATATGAATATTTTATATCGGTACACAATTTTGTATAAGTTAAAAAAAGTTCAAGTGTAAATCTATGTTTTCTTTCACTCATTCCAAACATAAAGTATATAGTCGTTGAGGGAAAACATAGTTATACATTTTTTTATATGCTAAAAGCTATTAATACAACTATACATTCCATTTCCATGTTAAATATTTTGTAGCCAGGTATTTTATCAAAATTTTCGTAGTTGATGTGATCCACCTACAGATTGCGCTTATTTAAATTACTAAATTCTGTCGAGTACATACACTTTTTTACCAAGTCAACTTAGGGAATGACTTATGGTGAGCTATAAGCAACTGTCATGACTCATCAAAAAGGTCAGCAACAAAAAATAAGGTATAACACTTGCGCATTCCAATAGTCAAGGCTAAAAGTAAAAACAAATTAAATTCAACATTTATTAGATGGTTGATGAAAAGTAATTGCTTACAAAACTGTTTTGGTTTCTTTTAAAGATAAAGATAAAATAGTTTAATGATAAACGTATACTATTTATTAAAAACCTTAAATACTTTGGATTTTAATTATCATCATAAAATATGTGAAATAAACCAATGTGTTATTTTAATTTTATCGTTATTTTTTATTAATATAACTTGACTTTAAAAACAAATGACTTGGTTGTTATTTAAACCAAAATGCGATGCAATAAGCAAAACCAGGCAGCGAAAAGGAGAGTAACGAATGTGAATCATTTATCAACCACTGTTTTGTAGCGGGCCTGACGTATATTTGGTGTTTCTTCAAACAGCTTTCTGGTTCTACTTAACTATTTTGTAACACGAAAATTTGAAATCCAAGTTTAAAGTTCTAATTCATCTAATGGTCAACCGATAGCTTTCACCATTCATCACTTAAAAATCAAAATCAAATTGGAATAAAGAACCAAACGACAAGTAACCCGTTACAAGGTGCAACTTTATACTTAAACGCTGACTGCATTTTTTTATAAATTAATTACTTTTCAATATAAGTGAATGAATTAGTAAATTATGAATATTTTGTGACCTGCAAAGCTGAATTGTAGGATTGATAAATGTTTTACAACCAAACTTTTTTTACTATGGAATAAAACTACGACCGTATTTTTAAATGTCTTTGTTGTGTAATGTACTTCTTATATTACAACAACGGACAAATGTAAGATATACTAAAGTTTACCACGATAGATAGTAAACTGTGGTTATTAATGAATCAATTAGCACTGTTGGACACATTGAGATTAGCTAAAAATACATATTCATATCTTTAATGGTGAATTCGTGAAAACATTGATTTATTAACATCATTTTTGATTTGTGAACATTTAATAGTCGTCTTGTATGTATGCTGGACTCTATGATACTAAGGTATTTAGAGTGACAAAAACATTTCATAATTCCTGTTCATTTTATGGTAAAAATATATGATTTTTATTCAAACAAATTGTAGTGCAATAATATCTTGTAGGCCCGATATTTAAGAGAAGCTCTTTTACAAATTTCCCAAACTAGTAAACTCCTATTACAATACAAAGAATCCTATAAACTAACGAGTTCTGCGTGGCCTCCAAACCGAGCGGTCCAACAAATGTGATATGTCAGTGACAAACAAACAGCTGTTTCTCCTAACAATGGGACGGAAAAAGACGGCGGTATTTCGGACCTAGGTGTCGGTGGTGGAGTTTAAAAGGAGTTAAGATGGATTCAATAAAACGTCTTTTGATAATGGATGAATACCAAGATATTGTAAGGTAATCTAAGTGATGAAATCAATTACACATTTTTAGGATCCATAATTCTCTTAATAATTGTATTTTTCCGTACATAAACTTTACATGTTTTGGAATGATTACTTTTTATTCGAATTTTTCATTGCAACGGTTAAATTTGCCATAATAAAATATATTATTTATTGTCACAGAATTGATTACAAACACGGACAAAATATCGCTTATCTATGCTATACATATACGTCTTGTGAAGCTATATATATACTTAGCAAGCTGCTCCAATGGAACTATAAATGTAATATAGTCATATGCCCCAAAAAACCTGTCATTATTGTCAGTAATTTTAACGTTCATACACATTAGTTGTTTGTCTAATATATTAACTAAAACTATCTAGCCTATTAAAATAATAATTTTAGCAAAACAGGTGAGTTTTAGACAACAAACCAATTAATTGTGATAGTAATTTAAATAAAGATTAGTTGTAAAGAATTATCACATTCACATAATATTACGTATAGTTAAGTATATTTATTGAGCACTTCAGAAGATATTCTGATGTTTTAGTAAAGCCATTATAATTTAAACGAATCATAAGTACAATAATAAATAATTAATTTCCTTCTATATGAAGGTATGCTCGAGCATTGTCACAATTAAAAAAGAGAATTTGTCATACATAATTTACTTTTATTTATCTTTATATTCGTACAAGGGGTGGCTTAGAATTCTACCCACCCTACAATAAAGCTTATGAATAATTCCATACATGGTTCTGGAATACAAAACAGTTGACTTTGGTAAAGCATATATGATGTTTTATGTTCTATTTTATCTGAATTGTTCAGACAGAATGCATTGCGTTTTACCTCCAAATGAAGTTCTTTAGAAAAAATGTATATCATCTATTTAAAATCAGTTAAAAGTGTTCCCAACTATTTTTTTTGTAAGTAAGTAAATAAATAAAAATGCCGTTATTTAGCAAGCGTTACGTGACAAAAACATGTGTATTATATTTTTGTACAAATTCACAAAATTTAAGGTAGGACAATGAAATGCAATTTGGCAGTGCAAATAGGAATATTAGGTTTATATTGACTATCAATCAGGATTTATGGCTTTTAAATAACATTCTTAAAATACTATTCAAGAACACATCTTAAATTACAGCGAGGACAACCAGAATTAAATAGATTTTTTAAACAATATTATCTTACATGAGACGCGTCGAAAGTAAAGTTTCCCCTTAGAGTTGCGTTATATTGAACTGGTCTGACATACATTGCAGTAACAAGTAATAAATGTGTCATTCATATGAAATTTCTGATTCTTGGAATGTCTAAAGTATAATGGAAACACTAAGCAATCAGTTATCCTCTGAAATACCTTGCAGGTAGAGGGGTATACAAGGCACTGTATAACATTTTTTTAGAGAGATAATAATTTAATTTAATTTAAATATGCTATTGGAAACGTGTCTTTGGGGCCTTGATAGCTTGTGAGTCACAAAAATTTCGGAATTTTGTAAGAGCGAGCGAACTAAAAACCTTCCATATCCCATTTGTGTTTCGTGCATTAACAATACCAATTAGGTAAACTATGAATTACTAACATAGCCTTACTTCAAATTACCAATTCAAATTATACGAGTATAAAGCAAAAATAATCTCACCTAAGAGGTCCACTTGAAAGCCTCATCATGTTGTGCTCCACCTAAGTGGTAACTAAGCTACGACTCTGCAAGAGAAGTTTTAACCTGGATTGAGACGACCGCAAATCCTTAGAATGTTCAAGAACATTTATTTTTAACAATTTTACGTATGGTTTGCAGTTTTAACATTGCATTAAAACGCTTTGTAGAAAGTGTTTGT